CTACTAGCTACACTGGCTCCCCATCGAAGTCCGGGCTCAATTCAAGGTGCTGGTTATTGCCTATAAAGCCCTTGACGGCTTGAGACCCGGATACCTGAAGGGACGCCTGCTTCCATACTCGAGTGCTCCTTGATCTGGAGCTGTCCCTGGAAGTTCAAGTGACTGCGGTGGCGAGGAGCGCTTTCCTTCAGCTTCGGCTAATCCATCGGCTGCATCCCTACCCGGAGGAAGACTGCCTAACGACAGTGACACATGCATTGGTGACTTCCCGACTAGACTTCTGTAACGCGCTCTACGTGGGGCTGCCCTTGAAGACAGTCCGGATACTTCAGATGGTGCAAAATAGAGCAGCCAGGTTGCTGACAGGGACTGGGCATTATTCTCATATAACCCCAGTTCTCTATCAGCTTCACTGGCTTCCCATCGAAGTCCGGGCTCAGTTCAAGGTGCTGGTTATCACCTACAAAGCCCTTAACGGCTTGGGACCTGGATACTTGAAGGAACGCCTGCGGCCATATTTGCCCTCCCGCCCCTTGAGATCGGCAGCAGAGGCCCTCCTCCAGGAGCCCTCCGTGAAAGACATCAGGAGGCAAAGTACCTGGAGGAGGGCCTTCTCTGCGGTGGCGCCCCACCTATGGAATGCGCTCCCCAGAGAGGTCCGCCTGGCGCCGTCATTATTTGTTTTTCGGCGCCAGGCTAAGACCTTTTTATTCCAGCGATATTTTAATAAGTTTTAATATTGTCTTTTCTATGTTTTTAGCTGCAGCCAGTGTGGGTCAAGAATTTATTTATGCTACTTATGTTATATTGTATATTGTAAGCCGTCCTGAGGCTTTTTTGTGAATAGGACAGCATATAAATATTTTAAATAAATAAAAACATAAATAAATAAAACTTTCTGCCTCTTTAGCAGGATGATCTGAAGGCTTCCATCCTGAAGCACCAGGGACTCCGAGGCAGCCTGTTGCCTGGAGACATGCGGGCCTGAGGTGAAAGCTGACCTGGGAAAGGGGATCATGGTGCAAAGCGTCTCTGGGGCTCCTATCCAGTCACCTGCATCGCCAGGCTGGGCAATGGATGAAAGCTGCCTGCTTCCGTGAGTTTTAATGGCATTTCCATGCTAGTATTGATTTGGCATCTCCTTGAAATTGGTATTGACCCTTGACTGCTTTTATCTTGGATTTTTCCTGCTGTATTTAGCAGGGTTTTGTCTTTGTTTTTTCCAAAAAGTCCTTTGTTCTTTTATATGTTTCATTTTCAGCTGCCTCGTGTACCATTATTTCTAAAAGGTTTCATTTGGATGCCAGGAAGCACTTCCTGATGGTTAGGACCCCCAGGGTGTGGAATGGGCTTCCACGGGAGGTTGTTGAGGCCCCCTCGGTGCGGGTGTTCAAGGACAGGCTGGGTGGGCAAGTCATGAGCGGAGCTGGCTGGAGTTGGGGATCAGACTAGATGGCCCAGGAGGCCCTTTCTGACTGTTTCTATGTTTCTGTGGCAGGGTATACCTATGGGGAAATAAAAACCCATGCTTTGAACAACATCTTCTTGAATATGCTGCAGAAACTAAAGAAGAGCCTGGCCTAACTTTTCGGTTGCACTGGCTTTGGGTGGAGCTTTGCCATGGGCTTTTACACCAATGGTGCAAATGTCAAATTGACTAGAGGGAAGCGCTTCGGGGTTTCTCCCTCTCCACCTCCCGCTGCCCACAAACAAGGGGAAAAAAACAAGGTCATCCTTTTCTGCTTTCTAATGATAAGGTTCTGGATGTAGGAAATCATTAATCGCTATGCGTAAGGCAAGAGATTGCTGACTAAGGACTAGATAAACATGAACTCTTGGGTCAGTTATCAGTTCATCTGTTAGTCACCTTACTTTCTGTTCTGCAAACCAAATAATTGATGTTCGGAACACCTGCTAGTGCACTTGCCAAGAAGCAAGAACATACAAACTTCTTTCACCCCTAACATAGGCCCCTCTGCCCTGCCACTGTCTGGACATGAATGGCGGCTGGACATTTTAAATGAAAATGTACTTGATTTTCTCCCTCATTGTCCAAACAGGGCAGGAAGGGGGAAAAACACCTATATGTTCCACTCTGGTTGGATGTGGTGGTTCTGGGAAGACAAAGGTCAAGATGAAGCAGAGAGAGTTTTCTGTACCGTACATCCGTTTCTTTATTAGGCAGAAATCTCTGTGTTCAGGCTAAGGAGTGTGATGCTGATGGGTGATGATAAGCAGATAAATTTATTAATTTGTTGATAGTCGCGAAGTCGTGCCTGACCCATCACGACCCCATGGACAACATTCCTCCAGACTCTCCTGTCCTCCACCATCCCCCGGAGTCCACCCAAGCCCACACCCACTGCCCCAGTGACCCCATCCAGCCAGCTCAACCTCTGCTGTCTCCTTCTCCTTTTTCCGTCATCTGTTCCCAGCATTAGGCTCTTCTCCAGGGATTCCTTCCATCTCATCAGGTGGCCAAAGTATTTGAGCTTCATCTTCAGGATCTGGCCTTCTAAAGAGCAGTCAGGGTTGATCTCCTCTAGGACTGACTGGTTTGATCGCCTTGTGGTCCAAGGGACTCGCAGGAGTCTCCTCCAGCACCACAATTCAAAGGCCTCAATCTTTCGGCGCTCAGCCTTCCTTATGGTCCAGCTTTCACAGCCATACATTGCAACTGGGAAAACCATAGCCTTGACTATATCAGATATATCCAGCTGCTGTTGTGTGTGTGTGTGTGTGTGTGTGTGTGTGTGTGTGTACTTAGTCAAATTTACTAATACATACATACATACATACATACATGGGTCAGCTTACATCTTTTTGATGGCAGCTAATTCCTGGGAGAAGTTTTCAGCAGCTGGAATATGTAGGTTATAGCCAAAGTTAATTCTGGATTGCATTACATGAACTTCCATGACCCAAAGTGATAATCTAAAGAACTTCTCTGAACTTGTCCTCTGTGATGAACTTTTATCTGAATTTGTGGACGCTGTAGAAAGCCTTAACTGCAAGGGCAGAGGGCAACTGGTTGGGGCCCAAACACTTGATGTGAACCTGTAGTGGAATGAAAAATGGCTGAGCACTGGGACATGTGCTTTGTATGATGGAGGAGACCCCAAGTTGGAACCCTGCCTTCCCTAGTTAAAGCTGGGAAAGACTGCAGTCCTCTCTCTCCCTCTCCCTCTCCCTCTCCCTCTCCCTCTCCCTCTCCCTCTCCCTCTCTCTCTCTCGGATATATCCGGCTGCTGTGTGTGTAAACTTAGTCAAATTCACACATTTCATCCATCCAGATAGATGGCTTTGAGCACTTAGCACTTGACTCCCTCGCTTGGATTCCTTGACTTGGTTCAGACAACAGACCAAACCATGGTGGGTTTTTCTTTTTTCGTTTTTTTACTATTATTGATCTATCATGTTGTCTGAACCCAGGCATGGTATTTCACCAAGGGAATCTTGGTCTTTAGAAACCATGATGAGAAACAGTGGTTTTTTATATTGCTTTGCCAGACCACCGTGGCCTGTCATGTTGTCTGAACCCTGGATCGTGGTTTCCATGGTCCTGGAATGAAACTACCACAGAGTCCTCCAGAAAGAGTGGTCACTACAGGAGTCATTCCAGTCATCCAGTCTTTATGTGTGGACCAGGAGGCACAGATAGGGAGTGATGCACCTTGGGATTGAATTTCAGACATGGTGGCTGATGAGAGGACTGAGTGGGGAAGACGGGAGCCTCTTCCCCTCTAGATTTCCGAGTGCTTGTGGCCAAAGCACCTGGAATGTTGTGCCCTCCTCATCAAGTCTGCATTCTGAGCTTCCGCGTTACCAGCCACTTCGAGTCCTGGCTTATCCTTGCTTGGGAGACACTCTGCTGCCTTGGCCAATGGCTGCATTTAGCTGGACATCCTGGTTCATAGAGTGGACTGTGGGAAAAGGAGGACTCCAACACGCAGGACTGTGGCCATGTCGTGCCCTCTGTTTCTATGGGGTGGGGGCAGGAAGGGGAGCCACGGAGAGCGAAGAGCGCTGCAGCGGAGAGGAGAAATGGAAGATGCTAGTGGGACAGGAGGCCCTCGTGAGGAATACAGCCAGTCAGGTCCGAGCTGTGGGGTGTCAGTGTCGGCAAGGCAGCATGGCTCCCTTGGGAGCTTGCGACTGGGTTCGCCTTGTGAGGACCGGTCCAGGCTGGTGGGTGCTTCTGGGGATCGGAGCCAGTGCCCTCAATGGGACCAGCTGGAACTTCCAGGAGGGGTGATCAGGGACAGTTTGGCCACCTCGCCTTGCTGGGGTAACACGAACGTTGGTGGTGGCGCTGCCGGTCCCAGATCCTCTGCTCAGGCCTGTGACACCCTCCATCCATGCCCCATCTCCAGCCTGGCCTTGTCTTTGCCGCTGGTCCGGCCATGTCTTGGCGGTGTCTGAGCCTTGTCTGCTCCTGGCTCTGCCTTGGTCTTTGCCTCTGGGCCTTGTTGGAGTTGGCGCGTTGCTTTCTCCTGCCTTTACCTTCACTTCGGGCCTTGCCACACCATGCTGAAATCCAGCCCTTGTTTGTCTCCACTTTGGCTCTTCCCGCATGTCATGGAGGCCTCCATCAGTCAGGTCTGGCTGCCGTCCTAGACAGCTGCCACTTCAGTCCCAGAGCTGACCCGGAGCAAAACAGGTGGATTTCGTAACACGGACAAAGGATGCGTGAGTCAAGCTTTGTCAGGTAGGTCTTTTCCCCTTTCAGGTCCCCATTACCTGTCAGAGTGAGTCACTCCCTCTTTGAAAACAAGCCAAATCACCATAATAGGCTTAGATAAGGTCGGGAAGGTTCATTTCCCCAAGAACAAACAAATTGTTATATAAATAAGCTATTTGCTGTTTTTTTAAGGCATGTTTCTATTTGCTTAAGACCTTCCCAAATCCAGGGCTGGCTTATGCAAGTCTCTACAAGCCAGGTTGTCTCCACCTTGCTGGGCTTTTGACTCCGCCCCCTCAGGAGATATAAATGTCCTGCCTGAGCCCCGTTGAGTCACAGAGCTACCTGGATTTAGGTAGCTAAGGAGCAGTAGGAGCTGTGCTTCCCAGCTGTGCTTCCACGCTCCGCTCTCTGACAGAGCACCAGGCCTTCCAAACACGGGAAGAAGAGGCGCAAGTGAAGAGCTTCTGGAGATACAGAACTAGCCCTGATGGACTTCCTTCCACATTTCTCCATCGAGACATGGGCGCTCGTCCTCCTAGCCATGGGTCTTCTGCTGCTGTAAGTAAAAGTCGACATATTCAATCTATTAGAAACATAGAAACTGAGCAAGTCAGAAGGGGTCTCCCGGGCCATCTAGTCTGACCCCCGGCTCCAGCCGGCTTCGCTCATGACATGCCCACCATGTGCATGTTCAGCCAGTCCTTGAGCAGTAGAGGCTGATGTCTCCAAGGTCAATGTACCAGTGGCTCCTTATGTGAGTAGTCCAGGTGAAGGCTATTTCCCCTTGGAGAATGTTGGGAGACACCCCATTTCTGCCTTAGCAATGCTGGAGGAATGACATGGTGCTCTTCCAGACCCACCTTTGCATGGGGGATTTCCTTGAAGTGAGACAGATGCTGGGAGATGCCAGGGAATCTTGGCTATTTCCCTCTGGCCAGCCTTGAGCCTCCTAAACTAGCCTTCTGCCTTCAGGTTAGTGGAAGATGCTGATAGCATCTCCAATATCCAACTTCCCAGGTTGAATCCAAGATTCCTCTTCCCATCAGCTTCATCCTCACCCCAAGACAAAAGATGGAAAACATTTGCATAACATATGCAGGTGCTATTTTGTGTGTATGGATGCAGTTTTGAGAATAATTGGTATTATTTAAGCAGAAATGCTGGAAAAGTTGCCCTGGTACAGCTGATGGGGACCAGGTAGTCTGTACACCTAGATCAGCTGTAGCTGGACCACAGTTGTGTAGTGTTTTAAGCTTTAAACTGGAATTGAAAAGCTAGATGTTCTTTGATGTCTCAGATGGAAGTACTTCTGTCACCTGGGTTGTTGTTGTTACATACCATCAAATCCTTTCAACTTATGGTGACTCTATGGAAGAACAGTCTCCAAAAGACCTGGCCGTTGACAGCCCTGCTAAGCTCTTGTTGACTCAGGGCTGTGGTTGCCCTTCGAAATGAAGCCACCTCCTCTTCGGTTCTCTCTTCTTTGTTTCCTGGCTTTTCCTCTCCCTAGCAAGATTTTCTTCCACAGGTCATCTTGCCTTCTCATGACGTGTCCAAAATATGGCAACCTCAGTTTTGTCAGTTTTGCTTCCAGGGAAAACTCTGGCTTGATTTGATCTTGGACCCACCTGTTAGATGTTTTGTCATTCACAAAGCCCTTTTCCAGCACAATGTTTTGAATTCATCCATCTTCTTCCCATCAGCTTTCCTCACTGTCCAGGTTTCTCTTGGGTCCTGCTGCTTAGAGATGAGGTGGGCTCTCCCACACCAGAGACATTCAGAAAGCAACTGGACAGCCACCTTAGTGGGATGGTGTAATGTGGTGTCCCGCAACAGCATGGGGCTGGACTTGATGGCCTTCATGGCCCCTTCCAACTCTACTTTTCTATGATTCTGACCCACACATAGTGAGTAGGAATACAATAATATGGATGAACTTAGCTTTGTTCTTCAAAGAAACATCCTTACATTTGATAATCTGCTATCTGAAGCCTTTTCAACTGGAAACACCAGGAATCAAACTCAGGACGTCTGCATGCCAAGCATTTGTTCCACTGCAGAGTGCATGAAATGAATTTTGAGTTAATTAAGTTCACCATAAAAGAACAAGTGGTCTGCAGTGGGCAGAAAGTTGTAATCCTCTGGGTAAAATCCAGAGAGACTTCCTCAAAAGTAAATACAAAAATCTGTTCTGGCACACCACCAGCCGAACATCAAGAGGAGGGGGAGAAACAAAACCCAAACAAAGAACTCCCTTAATGAAAACCCAATTCAGGCTGTAACTCTTGGCTCTGCTTTGATTTCTCAGCAATAAATATGTTCATGCAGCATTTTTATTTTTCTCCCCCTCCTCACTCTCCCTCTTTTTGCCTTGAGCTGGCAACAAGCCTAGAGAGAAGCCAGTCTTCTTTTATTTTTTATTTTATTTTGCTAAAGCCTTTAAGGCCCTATTTGCAGTGGGGCACTTGTTCCTTTATGGAATGATTGCTTTTACCTCAGGGTTATCTCTTTCTCTGAAGATTTCTGCAGAAGCAGCAGGCATGCAAGTTTTATCAACGGCGGTGCTTATTAAACAGTCTTACTATATAGTTATTGCCGAAGTGGGAGGGGCAGGAGAAGGCAGGGGGAAGTCGCACATTTTTCCCCGAGTAAATGCTTAATTCCTGGAGTTAATATTAACAACCTGACTGCCTCTGGGAAAGGGTTTGAAGATCTTTCATCCCAACATTGTATTCTATTTATTAAAGGATGGAGCGCTGCCGTTTTGAACAGCTAAGCTCATTCCATTTAAATGGAACAGAAGTTTTCCCTTTTTTTATCAGCTGCTGCCAGAAGTCTAGTTTTGTTTTCCACCTGAGCCACACAATGACCTGCTTCCGAAAAGGAAGACGTCATGCCCACTCCTGCCCTGCCAAACCCTGAATGATGGAATCGTGGAATTGTGGGAGCACGGAAGCACAGAATAGTTGGATAGGGCCTGTAAGACCATTGAATCTAACTCCCTGTTAGACTGCAAGGACAGACACACAGACCAGTAGATGTGGAAGAGGCCTGTAAGGCCATTGAACTGTGGCCGCTGGTCGGAGCAGCTGGTTAAGTTGGCAGTATTTCGGTGCCTCTCTTCTTGACCATCCTTGTTCCTTGGGGGCCAGTTCACACAAGCATGTGCCCTGTTTGCTTATTCAACCCTTGACGACCCACAGCGGAACGCAGAGAGAGCACTGTGGGAAAGGGGTGTGGTGTGTGCGCAACTCCACTTGCGGTGCTCCTGCGGCAGGCCTTCCCCACTTGCGAGGGGTGTGTGATGTGGCTTTTGCCCCATGTGCATGTCGAGCAGCTCATTGGACAAGGTGGGGCTTTTCCGCCTAGAAATAGGTTGTAGGTCGCCCGGAACTTGAGGTAGGAGCCTTTAACTGCTTTACAAACTTTAAAGTGACATGGAGACCATCCGATGTTTTACAAAACATAAATTTCTCCAGCATTTTTTTTTTACAGTTATGGAGTCTGGCCTTACCGTGTCTTCAGAAATATGGACATTCCAGGACCGACACCATTCCCGTTTTTTGGCACTGCTCTCGCCTATCGCCATGTAAGCTCCCAAGTCTATTTGGCAAAGTCGCTAACCTCTAGTGCTATCAGACCCTTGACCTCGTGTGGTTCCCTTCCTTCCCCTTTGGTGTGCCAGAGGAAGAGACTGAAAACTTGCCACAGTTCTGAATGGCATCCAAATTCAGGCAACTGTGGCTTGTTTCAACTATGCAAGCCAGGATTGAACTGTGGTTAGGTTAGGGATCTTGACATGTTCTCAATCTAAAGCTTGGCCCTGGGGAGGGCTGCTTGTGGCCCTCTAGTTGTTTAGGCCTACAATTCCCATCATCCCTCCATTGGCTATGTTGTTCAGGGCATAAACAAGGACTTAAACAAGCCATAGTTCTTTGCTCAAGTTCGGATATCATGGGGAATGGTGGATGGCTCAGAAAGAGAAGCATCTTGCCTTTCCTTCTCCGGTCCCAGGGGAAGCAGAGATTCCCTCGTCTAAAGCAGGAATCCACAGAGCTCACTGAAAGAGGGCCAGCCAGATATTGTGAAAACATGGAGAACTCCTAGTGTGCAAGCCACTTGGATTTCTCTGCACCCAGGCCAAACCTTTCATGCTTGAGTCCACAGAATCATGGAGCTGTGACTTGGTTTAACTCTGGATGTTTTCAAAAGGGTTCAGAAGCCCCTTCTCAGATGTTGCCGCTTCCTACAAAAGGGTAGCTTCTCTCCTGGACACAAGGACACCTTCACTTCTCCAAGGGCTCATTCTCTGTGAGCAGCAGTGTTTCCTTAGCTCCGAGTCTGCATTTGTGTCCCTGCTGGACTCTGGGCCCTTATTGTTGTAAGCCGCCCCGAGGCTTCGGCGAATGGGGCGGCATAAAAATGTTTTAATAAAATAATAAAAAGGGAGAGGAAAATCGACGAGCCTGAAAGTCAAGCGTGTTTGCTCACAACGGCATCCTGCTGCATCTAACTGAGCCACTGAGGGTGGCCTAGAAAACAGAAACTTAAGACACACCGAGATTAACAATGAATCTCTGAGATGCCTCTTCCAGTGTGGGGCCGTGTTGGTAGTCCTACTCCGAAGGGGGAAAGCCTTTTTCAGTTTGATGATTGTGTTTTATTCTGGAGGAACATCTGGGGACATAACTGGGCAGGGCCAAAGTACCAAACATACCCACCTATTTTAGCTTCAGGTGTTTCCTGCTGGTCACAAAATCGTAGGATAGCTGTTGTAACCCTTTAGGATGGGGTGGGGGGAATGCACAAAAGTTGGGAGACCACCAAATGATCAGAGGATCAGTGTTAAGAGGGACTTGGGAGATCAAGGCGGCAGTCCTCTCAGCTGTCCTGTTCCTTGGGTGTCTGTGGGCCACTTACTGCTTTCAGCCTCTGCTCCCTGTCAAGAGTTGTTGTGAGAATGGAAGGAGAACCTTGTAGGTGGCCTTGGACTTCCTGCAAGATGAAGAAAGGTGTAATGCAGTCATGATAAATTAATAGTTTGGAGAAAGAGGAGGGGATTCCATAAACCTGGAAACCCCATGGGTTTGTACCCATCTCCTACTTTCTAGCCCAACTGCACAGAACAAGCAGGAAAAGCTCATCTTGCAATGGGGAAAGAGAACAAACCTCCGACCCTGCTACTTGGGTGGAACAGCATTACACAGGCTTAAACATTTCTGTTAATTTTGGCACATCTGCAGCCCTGGGAAAGTATCACAGTATCCTGATGTTTTCCCCCTCAGTGCAGGTGACCAGCCGCTTAGAATTTGAACAGATGTGTGGAATTTTCTGGCAGATAATGATTGCAATAGATTCCAGCAACTCCAGGCTGGGAATCAATCCCTTGCAGCCCAGTCCAGTTGAGGGAACTTGTTTTAGTTTCAAGGATACTTACTAAGAACCAAAATCATATGCATTAAAGATGATGTACAATTTATTGAATGCAGTGTTGAAATATGGATGTAGAATATAAACAAGCAAAAAAAAAAAAAAAACCTTTGCATCCCTTTTTGGTGGCCATCTTGCTTTTCTGGGATGGGCCTTGGCATGGCTCCAAAAAACTATACTTGCTACTGGACACTGGAAAGCTAGTGATGCTTGCTCTTGAACCTGAATTGCCTTCTTGTTGCTCCTGTGTAGATACTGCTCAGCATTTTTAACTCTCCACAAACATTTCTGTTACAGGGACAAGTGGAAGTTGATAAGGAGTGTTTTAAAAAATATGGAAGCACCTGGAGGTGAGTACATGTTTCTTTGTGTTGGGCGTGTTTGTAAACTTCAGTCCAATAAATTGGTAGATTAATCCACTCGAGTATTCACTGGTTAATTGGAAAGGGCAAATTTTCAATGATGCAGGCTGCAAATTGAGACTCGGAGTTAATTTTGTTCTTGTGTGTTACTGTATTAAGAAATGGGAAAATATTAAAATGTGAATAACCAGCTCTGGGCAGACCGGGGGGGGGGTATTTTTTGCCTTCCAGATTCCACTGTGAGCTGCATACTGTAGTGCACTGGGAGGCAGATGGGGGGAAAGAGGACCCTCAAATGGCAGTGTTAATATGTTAATGCACAAAACAGGCCAAGTTCAGCCTGCTTAGTGCTTTAACCAGCCATTTTTAATCCACATTTTTTTGCTGTGGTGAAGGTACAGGTGGACATATTGCTTCCTGGCTTTATTACATTTGCTTTTTAGTCAGGTAAAATTTTTGGAACCAATGGACCTATGAATTAAGTAATTAAACATGATGCACCAGAGGTATTATCTCTGTCTACTGCAACGCCCAAGCACATGAGCTCTTGATTGATTGGTTGATTGATTGATTTAGAGATTTACACCCCACTCCATTAGCCAAACAGCTCCCTGGGTGGGTTGCAATTCAAACTTCAAAGCATTTGGTGTATTCTTGGCAGTGTATTCTGAAGTCATCATGACCCTGTTCTGGATCCCACACATTTGAAAATCTGAGGGATTTGCAAGGAGGATAAGGATTTGACTTTTTCATGTCTTCTACCAGCCAGGAATGGCGGAGTGGAGTGAACACGGGAAGTAGTGGAGATGGATAAGTCCAGTACTGTGGTGTTTCCACTCTGGATTGTAGCCTGAACTTTGAGGAGCATCCCATGGTGTGGAACCTAACTCAGACAAGTTCAGCAGTACGGCTAGCTCCTTTAAAGTCCAGGCTACGCCCTGGAGTAGATTCACTGCCCTGCTGATGTTGGAGCACTGGACTCCATTGGCAGGGGATTGCCTAGCTCTTGGTCCACCTGGCTCTGTATTGCTGACTCTGGCTGGCAGCGACTCTCCAGATCCCAGGCAGGGTTCTTTTATCGCCCCACACTGAGGGTTGATCCTGGGACTTCCTGCATGCAAGCAGGTGCTCTACTCACTATGTAAAAGCCCTGCTCCAGTGAGGGTAGAACAAGACAGATCCCAGAGAGGCAACTTCTTAACTTGCTGTGCGAATCCAGACGAATGGGCTTACTGTAGACCCAGTAAAGGAGCCATTAGCTTCCAGGATGTGGCGAAGAACTAAGTGAAGGTGTTCATTTTCAGCAATAGTTTCTTGTTTTTCCAACAATGGTGGAAAGTCACTTAGGCAATGAATGCTTCTCCTAGGTTTTTTGATGGGCGGCAACCTGTGTTGGCCATTACTGATCCAGCACTCATCAAAATAGTCCTGGTGAAAGAATGCTTTTCCACCTTCACGAATCGGCGGGTAAATTCTCTTTTTGACTGGGGCTCTTAGCCATTGGATTCTCCCAGCAGCGTCTGGTGTCCACAGGGACAAAGCCAGCCATCACAACGGGAACAGTAACCGATGTTGCAGTGAGGCGTATCCTCCGCTCCCAGTCAGGGGCCTCAAGGAGGAGGTCGGCCATTTTCCCTCCTGCAAGGCATCCCCAGGGTGCTCCTACCCCCCCCCCCCGCCACCAAACAGCAAAGCCTTTCCTTGCTGTGTCAGATGGCAGTTTGTTGTTGGGTCAGTTGTGGGGCTTTGAAGGATAGCTCATAAATTACAGGACCTGGGCAGGCAGCAGAGTCCCCGCCCCCCAGATGTTTTGCTGCCTGGGTTGAACCATCAGGTGGTGCCCCACCGTTCTGTGTACAGGAGCTGGCCAGACAGCCAACCTTCTTCCAGGGCTGGCCAGGGGACAATGTCCTTCAGAGTAGCTCAACTGCAATATGAAAAGCCGGTGACTTCATGCCACCTACGGAAGTGTCAAGATGAGAATGGCTCCCTCCTGAGAGCCAAGAAAGAGTAATTTCTGAGCGCGCTCTGTGCCTTGGAGTGCTTTCCATGGACTTGTCCAAAGAACGACCATCACAGCAGCCTCTCTTCTTTCAGAGATTTGGCCCAACTGGCAAGTTGTCCAAGGCCGTTTCGACAGCTGAAGATGAGCAGTGGAAGAGGATCCGTACCGTGCTTTCACCGACCTTCACCAGTGGGAAGCTAAAGGAGGTGAGAAGTATGCCTAACCCACCAGGTGTTGTTCTTAAGCCCACCCTGATGCAGACCCCAACCCAGGCTGGAATCAGCCTTAGTAGCGCAACCCTATCGTGAAGCAAGCCCTGCTGAGTCCATGAGACTTCCTCTTAGGTAAGGATCACAGCCCAGGCACGCGAAGGAAGAGCGGCTCCTTCCAATATCCCCCCCCCCTTGGAGACAATATGACTTGTCTGGAAGCTTCTCAGGGTGACCAGTCATAAATGGTCAATGTCAGCTCCAGGTTTTTGAAGGCACCTTCCCTGGATTCTCCTTCCGTGGGTCCATCACCTTCTCACCACAGTTGTCCCCAGCTGCTCTTGCTCCTTCAGGGAGGAAGGTAGCCAAGGCATCTCCTCCTCCTCCTCCTCCTCCTCCTCCTCCTCC